TTCTTCTTCTTCTTTTGGATACTACTTAAGAATGCACCTTAGCATGCAAGGTTGTACATGAACAAAGAAGTGGCTGTAAGATGAAGGGAGGAAGGAAGGGAGAGAGGGAAGGTAGGGAGGGAACAGTAGGGCCTTCAGTATTTCCAGCTTTACAGCAGGCTAGAAATTCATCTGCACAAAGTAGAATGGCAAGTTTGCAACCCCAAAAATGTCCTAAAGAAGCATACATGAATTCTAGGCAGCAGACAGAATGATCAAAAAGCCAAAGTAATAATATTAGGAATATGGTGAAGGATGCAATGTTACTTTTCTCAGCACCCTCCACCCCAAGACACACAGAAATCCTAGTGGAAAATATCCTCGTAGTCCGAATTCATAGCCCCAATACAAAGTGAATTAGAATGTGACATCATCTTGGACAATCTGCTTGACCTTTGTGCTAAGAACCTTATTATTGTGTGGGTCTTGAGGTTGTGACATTTACCCTGTTTGAAGAAAGTTGGTCGTATCGACGTGAGCAGTGCTTGTGCAGTCATAATGAAGTGTTGAGCATTGATTTTCAACTTAGAGACAAAACAAATAAGGGTTTATCATGAATACAGAACAGAATGTAAATGTTACCGACCTCGAAACAGGAAAGCTAGCAGGTGACGGAAGTGAAGGCTGCAGGTACTATTGGAGCACACAGTGAGACCACGGGAGACATTATCTGTCTTTGGTGGAGCTTTAAAGAAAGCATTTAGAACATTGATGATAAGTAAATTATGGGAACTAAATGTGGTGATGTAGCTGTAAAATTTTTGAAGTATAGAGGAAAGGTTCTGTGTGCTGATATCTGTCACTGGGCAGCAGATAGAATGATAGAAGAAAGTCAATAAACATATTTTATGAAAATGATTAGTGCAATGAGGAAATTATTTTAAGAACTGGAACTAACTTGTAGAAGCACAAAAGTACAAATGATTAAAAATACTTGTCCCAAAGGGAGAGAGTTTTATTTTTGATCATGTAAATGTATAAATGATGAAAATAGGCAGCATCATGATAAAGATACAGCATGGTAAATTGGATTATTTCCAGAAATGTAAATATAATTCAACTTTAGAAAATCTATTGAACTAAGCCACTACATTAACTGATTAAAAGAGAAAAATAATAATCTCAAAGATGTGCAGTAAAATTAAATAAAATTCAATCCTTCATGAGTCTAAAACTAAGAATTAAAGGAAATATGCTTAATTTGAAAAAGTTATAAGTGGGAAAAATACTGGGCTTAAAATCACTACTCAAACACAACATGTAGGGGCTGGGGATTTAGCTCAGCGGCACAGCGCCTGCCTGGCAAGTGTGAGGTTGTGAGTTTGATTCCCAGTACCAGGAAAACAAAACAAAACAAAACAAAACAAAAAACCACAACATGATTCCATTTATTTATTTTTATTTTAAAGAGAAAAGAACAAAAAATAAGAAAAACAAAGACAAAAGCAAAACAACACAAAAACTATAAAACGATACAGAATTTTGAAACAAGATGATAGGAAATCAAGAATGGTTGTTGTATTACTTATTGTATCTTCACAGTAGTTGCTCAGATTACCACATATAGGTATGCAAAGCTGACCAAACAATTAAACATTAACTATTCCTTTCAATAAACCAATAGAAATTACTAGTACAATTATCTTAGCTATCTTGTGTGTTTATATATATATTTTTTCTTTCTTTCTTTTCTTTCTTTCTTTTTCTTTCTTTCTTCTTTCTTTCTTTCCTTCATTCCTTCCTTCCTTCTTTCCTTTCTTCCTTCCTTCTTTCCTTCCTTCCTTCCTTCCTTCCTTCCCTCATCCCGGTTCTTTCTTATTAAGCAATTACTTTCCCTTTCACAATATCTATTGTACCTTTCAGGTTTATTTACTCTTTCAGGTTCTTACAGGAGAGAGACAATATGGTGTTTACACATGTGGGTCTGACTTATTTCACTTATGAGTATGGTCTCCAGTTGCATCCACTTACCTAAAAAAGCCTCAAGTTTATCTTTCTTTATAGCTGAGCAATATTCCATTGTATAAAAGTACCACATTTTTCTTAACATAATCCGCTTTGAAAACAGTAGTAAAAATACTGTCACGGTTTTTTTTTTTTTTTTATGGTTTTTCTCCGGTACCGGGAACCGAACTCACGACCTTGTGCTTGCCAGGCAGGCGCTTTGCCGCTGAGCTAAATCCCCAGCCCCTACTGTCACCATTTTGATCCAAAATTGTTCTGGCAATTCTTCCTTGCAAAATAAGGGGGAAAAACCAGGCCTGGTGGCACACTCTTGTAATCCCAACACTTGGGAGCCTGAGCCAGGAAGATGGCTTTGAGTTCAAGGCCAGCCTGAACTGCATAGCAAGACCCCATGTCAATAAAACAAATAAAAGAGGAGGGGAGGTGTAGAATAAGAGGCACAGGAGTGAGAAAGAAGAAAAAAGCAGTCATTAGCTATGGCTTATTCATATAGATAATTCTCCAGAACTGTAGGCAATGAGAACATTTCGTAAGATTGCTGGATGTGAGATTATATTTCTATATATTTTAAACAAATAATACATTTTAAAAAGACCAGAGTAGCTATAAAATATATAAAACATCTAGGGATTGCTCTAACAAAAATTACAAAAGATTATAAAGTATTATTGAAAAAAGATGAGAAAACATGCTGTGTTTATAGTTAAAAAGCTCAATATTGGTAAGATGTGAAGTCTTCCTAAAATGATGTGTAAATTTAATGTAGTTCCAATACCAATTTCAAAGGTTATATTTTATGGAATTTGGAAAGCTAATGTTAAACTTCATATGGTGAAGCAATAGTCAAGATGGTCAATAAATCCCTCAAGAACTACCTAATGTTCCCATTTCCAGATAATTTGTGCACTTACGTACCAAACAATATGTGCTCAAATATTCATAGAAGCCTTTTTCAAAATAGCAAAGACAAAAATCCAAAACAAAACTATAAAGAACTCACATGGCTCTCAGCAATAGAATAGATATAGTGTATTTCGTAGGACACACACAGCAATGAACAAAATCATTGACTTATAGCTACATGCCTTTACCTGGACACATTTTAAAAGCATAATATTTAGTGAAGATAGATAAATACATGTGATTTCTCTCAGTGTTCCCAAAAGATAAAACTAACAACACTTTCTAATTATATGTAATATACATATTGAAATGGTGAATGACATCTATGAGATTATTAACACAGAATTGTAGAAGGTGGTTATTTCTGGGAGATGAGTTTAGATGGAAGGAGACAGAATTATAGAGAGGTTTATAAATGCCAAAAGCACTGGAAATGTTCTGCACAATGCAAATTCATTTTATTATTCAAGAAAGCATGCATACATCGTTACTCAGAGAAGATCTTTTTCATCTCCATCTCTCTCCTCCCCAGAGATAATTACAATTCTAATCAAGTATTACACATATGTTCACAGGCATATGCATAAATGATATAAAGAATTGTACTGAGTGAATGCCTTCAAAGTTGTACAAGTGTTGCCATTCTCCATAGCATTTGGAACCTGCTTGTTAACATTATACATTCTCAAGATCTTCCTATAACCACCCTCCTCATGCCCATTTTAAAGAGGAGAAAGTTAAGACTCAGAAAATCAAAAGCTTAGAGAGGAGCAAGGCACAAGGAGATGCAAATTTACACACTTTAGCAACCAGTTCTGCTGAGACTAGACCTGAGACCACCCTATACTTTCTTATAGATGGAATTCATTTTTTTATAAATGACATCAGATGAACAATCTTCAGTTTATTTTTCAAAACCTCCTTCATTCCCTATGACAAAACTCTCATGAATACCTTTGAACAAGCCTCTTTGTAAACATTTAAGTATGTGCATTTCTTTATTAGATGCTGCCAAGTTGCTTTTCCAAGAAGTTGTTCTTACCGGTAGCATATGAGTATTTCAGTTTCTTCAAATTGTTACTAATATTTGTTCTTTTCAGTTTTTAGCCTGCCAGTTCCTGAGGAATGTGAAATGGTATTTCGTCTTAATTTGAATTTCCCTGATTTTTAGTGTACCTAACGTTTCTTGTCATTTGGCTTCACTTTGTCATTTGGTTTCTTGAATCACCTGCCAAATTCTATGCCCACTGAAATTGGGTTGTTTGAAACTTTCTTATTGATTGGTACAACGCTATTTGGATATATTAGAGAAAAGTAATTCATGTGTGTTTCAAATAGCCTTTTAACATTGTGTTTAGAATCTTTGTGGAAGACAAATACTTAATTGAACATATGCTGGTGTCAGTCTTCATGAGTTGTGTTTTTTTCTGTATATGCTTATTTTTCAAGGGAAGCATAACACTGCATTATGGTATTTTCGTAAACTTTCAGACAACTACCAAGTTAGCTTCCAGACTTGCTACACGTTTTTGTACCAAAATGATGACATGTATGACAGCACAGATGCTACACAAATCACTCAGACCAGAGTGGATATCACCTGGGTTCTCCTACTGCGCTACTATATACACCTGCAAAGAATTAATAACATGAGCAAGCTGCTAGGTATGTTTCAATGTAAGAAAGAATATATTCCTTTCTAATTCTTTTTTAGGTTGTGTTTCTTATTGAAAATTACAAAATAATTTTGACATTGTTCTGAGTAAACTCTCATCAGAAGGTGAAAGTTCCAAAGGTTCTTCACTTGGGATACACAAACCTTTGGATAGACTACTGTTTCACTGTAATTTATTTTCTTATATTGACTTCATATATTTGAAAACCTCATGATATGGAGGCGTCTGGAGGCTCCTCAAGATACCAAAGTGATTCTTGGCTCAAAAATGGTTAAGAACCATTGGTCACAATGTGACTGGGATGAAGTGCTGGCTTTAAGGAGTTTTCCAGGATCGGGTATGTGAAAAAGAAGAAACGTATGACTTAAAATGGGAGGGACGTTTAATTCTATGGACTTCTCACGTTGTTGATGTTTTTAGTCACTAAAGAATATCTAGAAAAACTGATAAAATCTACTTCACATCAGTCCTTCCTGTCATTTTTGGACAACATCTATTGTATTTTATCTCTGCCCCTGAAGTTGGTGATCAGTGCGGTCAGAAAAGACAGTTTGACCCATGCCAGGGCCCGGTGATGGGGAAGCCAGCAGGGCAAAGAGCCTGAGTCACAGAGCAGCTGAGCGTGGTCCTCCAGTGGCATAGGCAGGCACTCAGAAGGACATCGGGGCTGAAGATTCATCATGATGCGGAGAGAGAAAAAGGGAAGTTCAGAGGGAAGGACAGGGATAAGAGCAAAGGTAGCCCACCCTGAGGATGCACTGCCTCATAGCAGCTCAGCTCACCTCCGAGTTCACCTTCCAGCAATTCCTACAACAGGCATCCAAGTTTCTCTGCTTTTCGGATCTGGCTTTCTCAGAAGCTCCAGGACTGCCTGGAGGTATCAGGGATTCCACATACCCAAGACTAACCTTTAACTAGTGAGGTAGGCAGCATTCCAGGTAGGCAGATAACATTCCAGGTTCTCTGTCTCTTGCAGAGACTATTCTTCATGGTTCTGCAGAGGTCCCCAGTGGGGCTAAACCCTCATTGTCCATGGCTGTAGCACATTCATTCATTTACTCATCCTTCTTGGATCTTTTTTGTTTCCTCTGTCGTGCTTCATCCTTCCCTTCACTTGTGATCCTTGAGATCACCTTTCAGATAAGTTACCTGTACCCCAAAGGGTCCATTTTGGGGAGACTTGCAAGGAGACAGGTAGACAGAATACATGGCACTGTTGTTAATTCTTTTTTTTTTTTTTTTTTTTTTGGTTAATTCTTGAAACTGAAAGCAATATCTACAGGTGCCCCCAAAATTTTCTTTCCTTCCTGAGACAAGAAGCAGATCTATTAGTGTATGACTTCTAAAGACAGAAGGTGGTCGGCAGCCTCTGCCTCTTGTGGGAATACAGGATGGGGGTTGGTGAGCAAATATCAACAATACTGAGATCATTCCTATTCCTAACATGAGCCTAAAACAACTATTTCTCTTCCTTAAGCATCTGCAACACCAGGATCTGGAATCTCTTTGCCAGATGACACTCTTCTCACATCCCTTTACAACACTGAACTGATTTTACGCCAAAAAGAAATGCATGTTTTTCTTAAAAAGTTCTTACATCTATATTCCTCTTCTTGTATTGATGAATTTCCAAAAGAACTTCTACAAGGAATGGAAAATCTGGCTGATTTGGAAAAAGACTTAAATGAATTGTTACCCAAGGTAAGGTTTTAAAACATTATATATCGATTTAAAACTTGTTACATTTACTTATCCATTTCCAAAAGGAGCATATTAACCTCTACATTAGCACAGAAATTTCTAGCTTCCTCAGAGTTCCGAGGAAAGCTCATTTCTGTTTTACCACATAGGTAGTTTGATAGGAAAAGCTAGACTTTCAGGACTGTTCACATTTTTAAATGCTCTTTCTTTTTGTTATAATAAATCTTCAAAATTTCTCAGGATTTACTAGATTCCCACACAGAGCAGCATCTCTCAGGCAACTGTTTTGCCAAGAAGTTACACAAATTTCAGTATCACCACCCAACAGTAGAGCAATTTTGAGCGTTTCTAAAACTTTCCTCCATTTCGGTACCTTTGTTACAAAAGTCATTCATTATGTATACAGTTACAATTGTATGAATACCAAAGCAGACAGATGTACTCATCCAGCCACACATTATTGGTCATTACAGACCTTCTCACATGGGGTCAAGCCCTTTAAAAATCTGTTGCATGCAAGAGCAGAGAATGGACACTCTGCTAAAGTTCACGTTTGTCAAATTCACAGTCAAGTAACTCTTCTGCAAGGGGAGGCGTGAGTAAGGAGATGGGATGTCTAGAAAGATGGAATGTCCAGGAACGTGTGGAAGGGAAGAGTGGATGTGAGGTGCAGTTGTTCCCAATAACACCAGATTCTGAGTCACCCTCCTGGTAATAGACTCCCTTTGAGGATTATTGTCTGTAATGGTTGATACATTGTGTCAACTTGAGAAGTTTAGAAGTTTAACTAAGGGACTCAGCAGGGGGCCAGGGTTCTCATTTTATAAACATCCTCATCCTGTGTAAGAGGAGGGCAGAGAGATTGTGTGAGTGCTACACTCGCCCTAGGGCGGGTAGCCTGCTTACAATATAAGGGAGGAAAAGAGGCTTGCTCTCCCTCTTTTGCTCTTGTTGCTCTTGCTGTTTTCCACCGCCTTGAACTGTTGACCCTGTGCCATGCCACTCTACCTTCCAGCCAGCTGATTATAGACTGAACCCTCCACAAACTCCATAAAACCTCCATAAACCTTTTCTTCCTTAATTTTGGGTATTTTGTCTCAGCAACAAGAGAAAAGTAACAAAGACACTGTCCTAGATCCCAGGCTGGATTTGAAGGAGTAGGCAGGGGAGGGGACGGCTGAGAAGAGTAGTTTTGCTAGGTGTGTTCTTGCACGTATTGGAGAAGACTTTGGAAACAGCGTGTGACTTCTTAACTGCACTTCTGAAAGGAGCTCTGCTAGAATATTTTGTATTAAGGGCAGCCTGCCATTACCCAGTTCCTAAGGATGATGATCCAGAGGTACAACTCGAATACGTTGTAAATACAAGTGACATTTCTAGTGGCAGCAGGGTTATCAAAGAGTTGTCTCACCCTGTTTGCTCTTTTTTGATATAATTAGCGTAACACCGTCCCAGGATAATCAGCTCTGGAGATCACTGTCGCTTTCCTGACAGGTGCAAGCTACCTAATCATGTGTTTGTTTCACTGGGGTACACAGCTAACGAGCAGAAAGCCTTTTGGATTTTTTTTTTATATAAACGCCAAGCTTGGCTGACTTTTATAATAACATTTTTGAGCCTTTAATCACTCAGGAGGCTATTTCAATCAAACTCATTCCATAATTTTATACTTCAACCTGCTTTTCCCCCGGAAAGAGGTAGATGTTTTTCCAGAACAATCATTGCCGTGTTGTGCTCATCAGTTGTATGAATCCGGATATCATCAAGTGTGTTGGAGCTTTGTGGTGGGAAAACAAAGGTGCCAAACAAATTACATTAGAAATTCCAAAAAAGGAAGATGATTAAAATTGAACACAATGCTTCTAAACTGTGTGGTTGCCTGTAATCATCTATGTAAGGTCAAGTATTTGAGAAGCACTGAATAGCTTGTAGTTTATAGGACTGTGATAACCTAAAATTCACGGAGTCGGTCTGTTATTTTTTACTTTTTTCAAAGTATAAAGACAGCATATAAAAATACTCGGTGTGTAACTGATAAACTAGCATATGTAACCAGTCCCTTCAGCAACTGGATATTATCCTATTTTAAAGATAATAGAAAATTAAACGACTATTTATATTGAGGCGTTACAATGAACTGTTAGACCATCATGTTATTAGACACCACATTTATTTTTTTGTTTCTTTTTTTTAATTTTAAAGGAGTAGTAAATGAGAAAAAAAGAATAATAGCAGCATACCAACATCACAAACATAAACAAAACAAAGCAAGGACATTAAAAGTGACACAGGGTTTCAAGACAAAATGATAGGAATTAACAGTGGTTGTTATATTACATATTGTTATCCTCAACTATGTTGCTCAGATGACCAGATGTAAGAACGGGAGTTTGTTCAAACCATTAAAGAGAACAAAAAATAATTATTAGATAAAACATTAGAGATAATACAGTTTCACTAGACAAGATGGTAGGAATTCACCATGATTGTTCCATTGCAGATTGTTGTCTTCAAATCACTTGTTCAGATTACCAGAATCAAGCATGCAAAATTGGTCAGAACATAAAAAATTTTAAGCATTAACTGTTCCTTTCAATATACCATCAGACATCAGCAGTACATTTATCCCAGCTATTCATATATATACTTACGTTTTGCCTTCCTTCTTTCTTTTTTCTTCTTTCCCTCATCCCAGTCGTTCCTTCCTTTGAGCATTTTCTTTCCCTTTCCTATCATCTATTGTACATTTTGAGTTTTACTTATTCTTTCAGGTTCCTACAGAGGGGAGACAATATGATTTTTACACATTTATGAAATAAAAGCTACTTACTTTTTATTTTTTACACTTAGCTAGTAATAAATATGAATTTTTTGCTAAAATTTTTAGACTCTTTGAAAGTTACTTGGATATGAAAGAGTGAAAAATTATTTTTTTGAATCAGTTATTTACCTGGTCATTTTTGTGGATTGCCTTTTTATAAGTCTTTGTGAAGCACTTTTAAATGTCTACTTAGCTATAAAAATTTTTGCTTATAAATGAGGATTCTGGCTTATATGCTTTTATGATAGTCTCTAGGCAGTTATAAAACATTCTCACATTTAATATTACCTTCAGTCAGAACATCTTTTTTTCCCCTTTTATCAGTAGACAACTTGAAGGTCAGTGCCTTTCCCTTTTTATTCCAAAGACTTGCATTCACCGTGGTAGGATGTCTTGAATAGACTCAGAACATTGGAAGGGACGAAGGCTTATAAACCACCAAACATTTCTCTCTGATGCTGACATGTTCCCCTGGTTACCAAACCTCGTGATACTTTAGATGTCAGAAAGAGGGGAGTGGGAACCGCTCCCCAGCTATGATGCTGTGGTCCTGAGAATAACAAGAAGTTGATTTCTAATAGCTTACACTCCGTTGTTTTTAGACTTGCGATATCATTATCACTATCATTATTTCTCCAGCCGGCCTATTATTTTATTGATAAGGAGCAACTATGCTTTACTTTCCTAGCTGCCTCACATACAAATTAAACAATTTATGAAGTTGGCAATGTTCCTTACATTTATGTTTCCTGAAGACGACTTATTCAGTGACCAAGTTCCATAAAAGAAGCTTATCAAAGTCTTAAACTTACTGGTCTACCACATTCATTTAAACAAGGAATGAGAAAAAAAAGATTTTAACCTTTTAAGCAGAACAAAAACCGTGTGTATTTTGCATGTAGCACTGCTATTAGAAAATAGGGCAGAATTTATAGCCACACCCTCAGTGTATTCACCGGTGAGTAAACCAGAAATAAAATAGAGGTTATTTATTGGAAACAGTGGTGACCTTGAGACTGGAAGATTATGAGGGCATTTTCCCCCTGCAGATGTTCACTCTGGGAGACTCACTGAAGTGTAGAAGACATTTGTTAAGCTCAAGAGGTTCTAAAAGCATATTTTTACTTAGGAGAATCTACTCTATGATAATTTGGGGACAATTTTAAGATTTACCTTCATGTAGCATAAGCTGAGACAATTCCCAGAATTTTCCAATGTAGCTAATTAAATTGCTTGAAATATCGACTGAGTGAATTCATGATCAATAATTTAACCGACATGTTTTTGTTGTTGTTGTTATTCCTTAGTTAAATCGTGACAGTTCTGTACAGTCTGTTTTATCTCTGAGGACCTTTGCCAACCCATCTTATGTGGACAGGATGTCAACAGAAATGGCAACACAAGCTTTAGAAAAAGAACTTTGCTTTCAGTGGTACATCCCTCCCCTGGACCGACCTCCAGAGGAAACAGAACCTATGGTATGTGGTGTAATGACAGAGCTAAATTTTCCCAAGGTATAAAGTTCAACAGGCCTTTATGACTGGAATAGGAGTAGGCATCAATCTCTGAACTCCTGGAGACTGAACAGTGATTCACATTCTAGGAGAGTGTTGAAAAATGGGTCAAGCTTTTAAAAATGGAAGTTGGTCAATACAGCCTTTTGCAGAGGAACCTTCCGCTACGGAATTCCTTTGATTGCTGCCTTCTCTAAGAAGAGCCTCAGGCTTTTCTTTTTTGTTCCATAAGATATTTGCCATACAGTTTTTCCCTGTTCTGCATTTTTATTTGCTTTTCTGTCTTCTGCATTGGTCTACTCTGGCTCTTCCCAGCACTCGAGTGTTGTCCCCTCTAGCTGTGCCTCTGGTAGCTTCTGCGGCTCCTTGACTCACATGACCCCTGTCAAATCATGAAACCTACTGGGCCTGCCTCTCTTTGTTTTCTGCCATCACTTTCCACAGGGGCCCTTCGTCCTGCTTCGTTAGGCTGGAAACCTGCTACTCACTGTTGGCCAATTAGCTATCTCTTTCTATTGAGATAAAAGGAGAAACTTTAGCATAGATATACTTTCAGATATACTTAAAATGATTTCCTCCCATTTTAAATGCACTCATCCTCCAGTATCTGCTGGGGATTGGTCCCAAGACTCCCCAAGGATACTAAAATCCGTGGATGCTCAAGTTTCTTTTATAAAATGGCATTGTATTTGCATATAACCTACACATGTCCTCCCATATGCTTTGAATCACCTCTAGATTACGTGTAGTGTCCAATACAGTGTAAATGTTCTGTAAGGGTTGTTGGGCTGTATTGTTTCCAGGGAAAGTTTGTATCTACTCAACACAAGTACAGACCCATTTTTTTCCAAATACTTTGGATCTTCTATTAGTCAAGCTTGCAAATGCGGAACCCATGGATAATCATCTGTGCTTTTCTTCCCACTCTTTTCGTCCTTGCGGATGTTACATGTACATTTTAAAATGATGACTCTGTAATATCTCTTAGGGGAATTTACTATGGTAGTTTTCAAATTGTCTAAGAATATTAATAAGGCAGGGAGTTAAGGTAGTAGATCACAAATAGCATTTTAAAAACAAAACACAAGAGAAAATACCAGAATGCTTCTTGTATAGTAGGTAAAAAGGCTTTCTGAGCCTTCTGTCTCATGGTATATATTGTTAAAAGCAAAATTTCGTACATATGTTGATATTCCTCTGATATCATAATTCAGACTCATAAACAGGGGCTGGGGATTTAGCTCAGCGGCAAAAGCGCCTGCCTGGCAAGCGCAAGGTCGTGAGTTCGGTTCCTGGTACCGGAGAAAAGCCAAAAAAAAAAAAACAATCAAAAACAGACTCATAAACAGAATGCTTACTTAAGCAAGTAGTTTTTAAAAATGAGGAATAAAGTTTCAAGTTTCATTTCACAAGGTCATGGAAGTGTCAGATCTGTGAGTTGTAAGGGTGATTGGGGCAGGATGATCTGGGTCATCCGTGTCCTGCTGCTAGAAGGCAATGACAAACCAACATCCAAGAAGCAAAAACTATGCATACCTATGTGGCATAAGTAGAATAACAAGGTTTTGCCCATAAAAATCCTATCTAACAATCAGCAGGGGTTCACTAACTGGTGTCAGAGATTAGAAGCAAAGGTCCAACTAACAAATTCTGATTTCAGCACATTGATTTTTCTCAAGCAACAGGAAAATATATATGGCACACACTTCTCTCATTTGTTAGTTTGAGTGCATTTTTTTTTTTTCAGTTTTAACAGGAAGTGTGTATGTATTGCTTGTGTTAGGCGAAATATTGAGAAATAGTGATTTGTATGAAATAAATCATCCAGACTCCAAATTGTAGCCTTTTTTGGAAGAGAACACTGAAATTTGATGCTTTAAATATTGTGCATTCATTAGCCATCATTTCAGGATTTTAGTGTTTGTTGTTGAAACTCATACAATCCGTAGCATAATAATAGCGAGAACTTGTGTAGAGCTTACCATGTTCAGGATACTTACTAACTCTGTGAGATAAGTGATATCATGAGTCGCATTTCATGGAAGAGGAAGCTGAGGCACAGGGTGGATGAATGCTACTCTACAAGGAGTCAGAGTGCAACAGCCTGACTCCAGAGTCTGTGCTCCTGGGCAAAGGGTCATTTGGAGCCTCAGGTGATGACTGAGGGTTCTCCTTGCCTGTGAAAAGGATGGCGAGGAAAACTAGTATCTATTTTGCGCTTTAGTTTCCAGGGACGCTGTAGGTCATTGGATGGCACAGTGAATTCGCATCACTTGACTCACCTACTCGACTGACTTCATTATACCAACATCACTGAAGCAAAAATGCCAGTAGGAACTAGAGATGCCTCAGAGTAGAAATCTTGGCATTGGGGATTTTGATGTGAATTTTTCTGATAAATCAGAAGGATAAATATCTCCATGCCATTGTACTTTGGAGTTAAATTCATAACTTGGAAATGTTTAACCTCTTAGTGTAGGAAGTAGAAATTAACCATTTGAAAAAATAATCGTCAGTAGCATATAACAGAGTATATGGCAAGCTATTCACTGGGGCTTCATTACAACAGAAGCATCTCTTGAAAATTTCAGTATAAGGTCAGACACCAAAGACCCTGCCAAAGACTATCATTTAATGAGCCTCTTAGACACTGGTTTAAAAACTATCTGTGAAGAATAGTTGATTAAAGTCAGATGTATCGTCACAGCTCATCCACCGAAAGATGGAACTGGAACCCAAAACTCCATGATCACCAAACTTGGCTGAAGTTTATACCTTAGTGCATTGAACTTTATCCTGCTTAATTGTCCTGTTCCTTTCAGCATTCAGGTTCCCACTTGTGTTCGAGAGTGAGCTTTGAATCATGTTTATAAATTGCTCAGCCTCAAAAAATACAATTCAGAGTTAGTAAAGATGAGGGATAATAATCAACAGCAGGCATGGCACCTGAGGCCCAGAAGACTCAGTCAGACAAGCGTGACCAAGTGCAGAAATCCAAAGCAAGACCCCGAAAAGCGTGACTTCAGTTGGCAAGTGAAAACACAAATTTGGATAGAGTTGAAACGACGCCTGGAGATGTGTCTCCTCCAGTGCACAAATCCAGCCAGTCTGGGAGAAAGCGATGTGGTGTCAGTGCTCTTTTCCGGAGGTCTTTATATCCCCAGCTCAGGGTCCCAGATAAGCAGGTCATGAGTTCAAGACCAACCCAGGTATAGCAAGACACTGAGGAAAGAGTTAAGGCTGTAACAAAAGCACAAGCTATAAAGTCTGAACTATGTGCTTACGTGATTTCCGGAGTGCTCAAGCTCCCACCCTGCGATGGAAGGCGGAGGCTCATGTCCGCCTTTTCTCCTCCTTCACGTACCGTTACCCTCTGACCTTCCCCCATCCTGTTCCGTCAGTTCTTGTTTAAAGCATAGTCAGTGTTTACCCTACAACTGTAACTATAACCCAGACAAGCTACGTGGGGTGCTGTTTCCTTCCTTCCCATCTTCTTCTCTGAAGACAGTTTGCCCTTTTTTGTTTAACTTAGTTTTCTACATATTTTAGAATCTGATTCTTTCCAAACGTTCAAAGACCCAAGCAGTTCATATGGCCCAACTCGTCAGTGTATCTCTCAGTGCCACTTTACATTTTCCTCTTTAGGTTAATGCCTGGATTCGTTTGCTTTGAACCTCAACTGTCATCTTAAGAGCCTCCTTCTCATGCTCTTCAGAATTCCTTCATCTCTCTGTACGGTGTACTCCCTGTCACCGAACCCCACATTTCTCTGTCCACATTCACACTTTTGCATAGATGTGTCTGATATTTGCAGCTTGACAGAGGGTGTTCTTCACAGGGTACACTAGACTCTGTAAAGTGTATTCATAAAGGACCTTAGGAGGACACATGGGATGGCAGGATAAAAAGCACCGTCATCATTAACAGATCCAGGTGTTCAGGGAGGCTTCTGTGGTGAACAGGGCATGGTTCATTTATGCATCATGGACCAGAAAAATGTGGTGAGAAAGCTTGGTCTCAAGGAAATTGCTGTCTTATCTGAGGAGTATTTTGCATCTTTGTTTGTGTAGTCCAAATCAGATGCAGGATCACAATCAGTACCACCAATAAAAATAACAGTAGAATCCAGATGCAACTCAGCAACATGCACATTTTCTATTAAACAAAAGTTAACAAGATGGTATAGGCTGCTCTTTGGCAAGTTTCAGACGGCGGGACATGACTACTTTAATTACCAGTAGGTACTTCTCCTTCAGATTTGACCAAGGACCAACATATGATAATGTTCCTCTGAGATGCTAACAGAATTGCAATAGACTAACAGAAATTATCCAGGAGGTAAAATGATTTAAAATGTCTGAAAAAGAGGGTTTTATTTAGCACTTGTGTTTTTCATGCATAGAATTCTAGAATATTTGTCCTCCTACACCTCTTCCTGCCCCACAAGTTGCTTGTCTACTCTCTGTCACTATATACTTGTCTATTCTGAACACTCACAATGTAAATTTTCCCTAACTATAATTATATATTCTTTGACTAATATCTCCTCACCTTCCTCCAATCCACCCCTGCCTCTGGTAATCACCATTCTACTCTGAACTTCTGAGCAGTTGACTTTTTGATTCCATATCTGAGTGATATTGTGCAGTAGTTGTTTTCAGAATCTGGCTTATTTCAGGTAACAAGTCTTCCAGGTTCATTTCTGTTGTTACAGATGACAGAATTTCATCCCTTTATAGCTAAAGAATATTCCATTGTGAATATATTTTCTCTACCCATCCATCAGTTGATGGAAACTAGGTTGATTTCCTATCTTGGCCCTTGCGAATAGTGCTGGAAGTGCATTAAAGTGCAGATATGTCTTTGGCATACTTGTTTTCTTTGTTTGTATATCCAGTGGTGGGATCTTAGGTCTTTATGACTTTGGAAGCTCTGGGATTTTCTTCTGTCCCCTGTGTACTGAAATTCTATGGTGTGTTTTGGTGTCCATCTTTCATCCATTTTTGTCCTGGACACTTAGGGTGCCCTTCACAATCTAGAAAGTAATATTCTTCAGTCTACAGAGATATTTTCTTTTACAATTTCCTCCCTCTGACTATCTCTGTATCTTCTTGAATAGTGAACATAATTTTCTTGTCTTTTTCCTATTACCCTTGTCTTTAAATTTAGGTTTTACTTTGGAGGACATAGACTCAACTTTATGTTTCAAATATTTTGTTGGTTATTTAGTTGCTGTGATTGTATTTTTAAGAGCTCCTTCTTGTTCCCTGGTTGTTCTATTTTAATTGTACTGTGTTATTGCTTCATATTTGTCCTTCTCTCTGAGGTGTTAGTCATGGTTTCAGTGAAGTTTTCTTCTGCTCTTTGTACTGTATCTGAGTCCCCAAATTCCTTTCTTTCGTGTGTTTGGTTTCTGTCTCTCTTTTCATAGCCAGCAGACTCTTGGCTGTCTGTTTGCGTTTGGAGCAAGGCACTGGAAAGCACTCTGGGTCAGGCTTATTGATCCAGGGCTCTCATTATAGGATCTTTGAGAAGGAACCAGCAGTTCCGTTAGAGGATGGGGGAATGTCAGTGTCTTGGGTCTTTCCTCTGGTCACCCAAAGGGGATTTTCATAGATTCCTGTTTAGTTACCTACATTCTGGAAGGTGGCTCTTGGTGGGGTAGGAGAATATACGTCGTTCAGAACACATTCATTTTAGTATTTTCACTATAGTACCTATCTCTGTACCTAATGTCTCCGACTATAGAACCTCTCTGATTGAGTATCAGCAGAGCAGCATTGAAGAAGTTTGAGCAAGAGATAGATGACCAAGAAAGGGGGACTCTGCTGATCTGGGCCCAGAGAAGGGCTGGGAGGGAGGTTGCCCAGCCCTGCTGTTTGCAGCCCCTGCCTCTGAGGGTGCCCGAAACCTTGGCCCCAGAGTGCTGCCCGATTTCTAGGCCCTGCTGATTGCCAGCAACCCTCTAACGGTACACGCTCCTCTGCTGAGTTTCTGAGCACGTCTTGTCCTGGAGCGTGTTGCTGCCACTGTCATTTTACCTCCTATCTTCTTCCTGTCCTCATGGATTACACCTTTAAAACAAATCCATTTATTCTTCTTTTAGTTTGATTTTCAAGGAAGCAGGGATAAATGCAAGTGTTGAATTAGTCAGTTTTGATGACCAGCTCTGGGCCTCAGCTTTCTTAGATCTGAGATGAGGGAATTAGACCAGATCATCTCTAAGGATCTATGAATCTCAAATTCTGCGAATACGTGACTGTAAGTCGGTGCTGTATTGTATGGGGTTGATACCAAGAGTTGTCAGACTCTGAAGAACAGGGGCATTCCTAGAGATGAGTCATCAAGAGAAAGCCCCTCTTAGAGATGGGGGTGGGAAATCGCGTGTGGCTTGATAAATGGAGAGGAGGGGAAGGGAGCAACATTGCTGAATTCATGGGAGTGGGTAGGATGCTGAAGGGAAAGGTACACATGGAGAAGGAACAGGAAATAAAGACAGATGTTCACCAGCTAGGTGTTCAGCACCTGCAGCAAAAGGCCGTCAAAGGCTGAAATTTAAACTTCATCGAGGTACAGAATATCACCCTTCAAAAGCAATTTATTATTACCAAATAGTGTTATATTTCCATCTTACTACCTTTGCACAGTTCTTACTCGTATCATTTCTCTTTAAAGTGACCCGGGGGAGCGGGGAGGCTCAGGTTCTTTATTTCTCTCCTAAAGAAAAGACTTTGCATGGTGTAGTGTTATTTTTTGAGGACTAATGCTGCATGTTGTGAGGCAGTGTGGTTTTGCTACTTACGTTTTTCTTTTTCTTACAGGTTTTATTATTGTATGCATATAATATGAAGTCCGTGAAGATGATAGATATTAGAAATTCCACTTCTAATAGCATATCTGTTGGCTCTTTGTGGCTTCCACTGAAAAGGCAAGTAAAGATGGATCAGCCTCAAGACTAACCCGCTATTGTATTTCCCATCAGAACGGGCCATTTCAGCAAGGCGAGGGTAAAGTCCAGGAGATCCTCCCCTGATATTTTTAAAAGAATCCTCTTTTTCTTTAGAGGAGCACTGTAGACATGAGCTCTGTCTCATGAACTCTGGATTCCATATGTTTAACTCAAATACTGCCCCTTACTAAATTACAACATTGAATAGTTCAGTTAACTCCTGTATGCTTCCTCAGTTGGAAAACTAGCACTAACAATAGTGCCTTGGGTTGTTGGAGGAAGAGTTCATGACGCGTCATAGAGATTGCAGATTATACAAGGATGTTGTCTGCAGTATATTTTGCCTGCAGTTTTGGTGTGTATAACAAATAATATAGCTCTCTGTGGGTTGCAAAATGAAGCTCAGACTCCACCAGCTCTCTCATCTCATTTTCCCCTCTGTATTCACTCTTACTTTCTATTGTTCTGAAGTTTAAAACCTGCTGCAGCCAGTTTTTCTCCCTCTCCACCAAATAGGATCATCTCAAGCTTTGGTCCATTGTAGGTTTCTCTTTCCCCATTCCACTTTACTAAGTTTTTTAAAATTAAAAAACCTCTTTCATTACTTAGTTTATTTTGACTGCACTGTCCATTGCCCTTGGGACGTTGGCTTCCGTTTCTTTCATTGTAAGTGGGAAGGGTGCTTCCTGCTCTGCTGGGCTTGCAGGTTATGGTAGCGTCAGATCCGACGTGGAGGAACACACCTTGGAAAGCCGAGACATGGACACAGCGTCCGCCTGTGTCTGGCACCTAGTGAGAAGCAGGTGTGAGAGAACTGTTGCTCCCTGCGCCTTCCGCAGAGAGTCCTGTCCAGGCGCCCAATTTTCATTTTGAAGGATTGCTTCGTCTCCCCATGAAAGAGAATAAAACAAGAGCCATTTCAAAAACTGGCAGATTTCCAATTATTGGATTTCTTTCTTTTTCCTTTTTGAGAAAAATGGTCCAAAAAAACCCTAGGTACAGGTCATGGGACAGCAGAGCTAAGCAACAAAACTAAGGAATTTTACACTTGCCTTATAAATTCAGAAACACGGCAGGATTTTTTTTTCAAAACCACACAAGGAAAATAATTATAATATCTGCAGAATCAAAAATCGACAACTGCTATGCTTTATTTTTATTCCCTTAAATTCTTAATTTTGGTGTGTTTATAATTAATATTAAAGTTGCTGAAACAGGAACTGGCCCTGTCACTGGGGCCATGACAGAGAATGGGGCCTGACAGTTTTTCAGCAGACCTGTCCTTTGGTGGCACAGTGCTAATGGATGACTTCTGTCACTCGGGCAGCATTCCTTGTGTTCTGATGAAGGTCAAAGCCAGTACTTGCTTATCCTTTAAGAAGCAACAGGAATAAATTGGGTCAGAAAAAAATAAGAGAAAATTCTCTTTTTGTTGTCTACTTTAAAAAAAAAATCTCCCATTTAAGCTCTCATAAAGAAAAATATTTTTAGATTTTGTAGTTTTTCTTATAACAACAAAGAAAGAATAATGTTCCTAGCAAACTCACATGAGAGTTACTGTGTAGTTCTGAGTGGTAGCTGTACTCTCTGATGAAGAGCAAGTTCTCTGTCCACTGTCTCTGCTTTCAAACCTCCTGTCCCTCAAGCATCTCCTTCCAGCTGGCTCCTGCCCTCCAGGCCATGGAAGACGGGAGAAGGATGCCCAAGTATCTGGGGAAGTAGAGGCCACGGGAAGCTGGTCCAACTCAGATAGGAGAGGGATGCTTGTGTGTAGTGCCAAGGTGGCCAAAAATCTCATCCTGCGTTGACCTGGAGGGAAAAGTGGAAAACAGGAGTGAGGGAGAAGGTGGTGAGAGCCCAGGCAGGCCAAGCACAGGAAGGGCTTTTTACAGAACGAGATCGTGGTATTCACTCCACAGTAGACATCACTGCAGTTCTGAGCATTCAGGAGCAATCTGCAACCCAAACGTCAAGGCGTAATTTGTCCTCCCTACAGTCTCAAGTAGTATGAAAGAAAGCTGTGCTTCTCTCTCTCTGTCTCTGTCTCTGTCTCTGTCTCTCTCTCTCTCCCCCTCTGTCTCTCTCATTTTTGTTTTTGAGAAGTGGGAAGGGAATCCAGGGTCTTGTGCATACTAGACCAGTGCTCTGCTGCTCAGCCCTGTGCCATTTTTAGAAGACAAATAAGATTTTTTTCCTGTAAGTAGTAGAATGAAGAATGGTATTTTAGAATACCATCTTTTCTTTATGTGCTTTTTATGGTTGAGAATTTATATACTTAAGTTATTTCCTCTTTACAAAAGCCCTGTGAATTAGATGAAACGGATTTTATTATTCCACTTGTGCAGTAGAAGAAATGTGAGGGTCTGAGAGGTTAAGTGGCTCACTTAAGGTCACGTGGTTAGCCTGTGATGGAACCAGGTGTGACTCACCAAGTCCCTTGAGTGATGATCCAGTTCCCTCTCCAGTATACTGGGCAGCTTTTCCAGCATTATTCGGGATGGTCCATTTTGTAAATGGACACACTTTCCAAATAATCTTTTAACAACAAATCTTTATATTGTAGCAGTTGCCTCTTTAGTAGAAGAATTTCTAACCTGTACTATATAAATTAAAAGCCTCACATATAATTAATGATTTGCAACATTTTATTGCTGAGAACCATCATTCGGAAAATCACAGATTACTCTAGGCTGCGGATGAGGGTTCTGCAAAACGATGGGGAATCGACATTTTTGTATATACTGCTGGTGCCAGTTGGTTTTTGGATCATTTACTTATTTTTCATGATTCCCTTCCTCATCGGATGGAGACAGCACATACACATGCACCTTTCCATGCTGTGTCCCTCGGGCAGGGTCACAAGGGCAAGGGCCACCACACAGGTGGCTCTTTGCTTCCTTCTGTTGCAAACCTACTTTTAGTCTGCACTCCACTGGTCCAGCTCTATCCTTGGAGTGGCCACTGTTCCCAGGCTGGGGCCTCTGAAGTTCTGCATCTTCAGTATTGTTGCCACTGTGTCCTCTGCCTCTTTTCCGGCTCCTGTTTTTCCTTCTTTCTTGCTTTTCCTCCCTAGCTCTCTTCGTCTACACTCTCTGCCCAATGCATGATGTACAGTGGGTGCACTGATTGGCTTTTTCCGGCCCTTGCTAACTTGTCAAACTCTTACCTTCAGACACGCAGACAACCATACCATGGTGTTGAGATTTACATAGGAGTAATCGCCTAGAGTTTCCTAGCTTGTGTACTATTTATTTTATTTTCATCTTCAGCTGCAATTTGGGGGTATATTTTTCTTTCCAGTGTGCCCTGCCCACGTTGTAGTATGTGTGAACCTCAGTGCATACGTGCAGCGTGAGTGTTTTCAGAGTTAGGATCGTGCCTCTGAGCTTCTTTGCTCATGTTTTTTGCAGGAAGGAAATGAGTGGGGGGGTGATACTGGGGGATGTCAGAAATCTGGTAAATGAAGCCTTGTTCGTACATCTTATTGGCTCTAAACATGAGCCAGTGCCTTTCTTAACTTTTCAATTAAAACTCATATGTATTTGTTATTTTTAGAGTTATTTCAATTCACGAGAAACTATCGAATCTTGCACAAATAGCTGAGCTATCATTGCCATCAGTTCCTGAAACTACTGCATATGAAGACGTACATGAAAGAAAAGAAACGGAGGCGAAGCCAATTGACACAGATATGGGAGTAAGTTACTAAATGATAGAAAACGGCACTGCTCTTGCGGGATGGGTTCCATTACACATCAGTATTTATTTTTTACTTCATAAAAGCACAAGTACATAACTAAACTTGAACTTCAGCTTCTCCCTGCTATTTTCTTTACTTATTGTATCAGGTAGGACCCAACTCTTTGACACGCAAATTGTGTTCCATTCCAGGCTGTTCCTCGCATACTCATGACAAGGGTCTGAGAGTGAATAAGAACAAAGCCCATGTGGAGAAACTATTTAGTATAGCTGTGAACCCCAAGAAATGATGCTTTCTAACTTTATAGAATCACTTTAACATTTCAGCTTTATTATTTCAATATTTTTACTATCTAACTGCATAAATGAAAACTAGAAAATATAGATAAGCACACGCTCTTTCAGATATTTTTTGCGTATGTATTTTTCTCACCAACCCACGGGAATGAGTGATTATCCTTACAGTGGGCTATTATTCTGAACACAAGGCAGAGTGGGTTTTGTGCCAAGGGAAGTTCATGTTGTGGAGAAGAGAAGGGGATCGTTTTCCTTCTCTCCATCTGCAGCGCTGAAGCCATTGAGAAACGGGACAGGAGAGGTGGACATGAGGAGACTGAAATACCAGCATCATTACTCATAGAGCGGCTTTGCTGTGGAACTGGGGCCAAATGAGCTTGTTAATATTTTACCACGGAATTAGCCAGAGTTGCCCACCTACGCGCAAAGTCATCTCTCCTAGATGTGTGACCACAGGCCTCCCCAACTCCCCTTCTGCCCCTGCCAAGCTTACTGCAGGGGGAAAGTGGAAAATAATAGTCCTGCAGGTAGGGTGCCTCCGAAACATGCAAACAAAGCTTGCCCTGAGGAGATTGAGCCTAGTTTCTGGGTTGCTTCTCCCAAACTTATCCATCAGGTAGGTTGTTCCTTTCTCCTGGGGTACATTAGTGATGGGTCCAGAAGCAGCTGCAGTGTCCTTCTTTCTTTGGGAATAGAGTGGAAATTCCTTACCCTCGTTGGGTAGATGTAGAAAATGCATGTTCTCCCCAACACTAGATCTATGCATTTCCATTTGTATGCTAATCCTCTTTCTTGATGTATAATCTGTAATTATTGTGGACATTCTTGAAGGACCAAATAGCTCTAGATGGCCTAAAATGAAACGGAATGATCTGCTCAGGTTCTCTTCGTTCTACAGTCCTGCTTGGCAGAGGCAATCACTTCCAACTCACTTAGGTGCTTCTCTTGTTATTGGCTTCAGTGTCTATGACTAATATGCACTATCAGTCATGAAAGGTAAAGTAACAAACTGGTTTGATACCTTAGTGGGTCAAGAGGGGCTGGCTCCACATCTCCTCACGCCAGCATCCAGGCTGGTGACGTGGCCATTACAGGGAACGTGAAAGGGGTAGACCACGCCCTGGCTCCTCCAGTTTCCTTCCTATCACACCCATTCACATTTTGTTGGCCAAATAAGTTACACTCAGTAGCAACAATTTTGCTTCTATCATTTTGGAAATAAGAAAGCCAGTAATAGGGTTGAATACTAGTCATGAAAGCCTTATAATCAGTGTTGGTTTTTTCTTGAAGTATTTGTTGACTTAGTGTTATAGTATATAGAGATTTAGGTAAATTATTACTTCCAACTCCTCCTTTTCCCTTTTTTTCTTAATATTATTACATCACAAAATTTCATGACCAATATTTAATGTTTACATTATCATGACCATGTAAATAATGTTTACAATGGAGGCTTCCCTTCTCTTCCCTTCCCTTCCCTTTCTTTCCCTTCCCTCCCCTCCTTTCCTTCCAATATAAGAGAAATATAAATCCCAACCTGCTAGGTGTTAGATGTGCTGAGTTTGTATCCCCTGAAATTGAAGATTGAATTTTAAAGAATAAAGGAGGTTAAGAGTAGGAAAAGCTTATTGAGAGATCACTCCTGAGAGACAGGAGGGGTCCTAGAAGTGGGTTGTCACCAAGGTCATTTCCCTAAGAATGTTTTATAGATTAAAATCATGAGGTGGGTACAAAATCAGTGTGAGTACAATGTGGGTCAAACTATAACCAACCAAGAAGTGTAGCCATTTTGCTATTATTGATCCAGTAGGGAAGCGGGTCATGTAGCCAGGGTACATGGAAAGAACAAAGGCATTTTGGAGAAGAGATGAGTCCGGATGCTCTGGTCACCCACCTAGGCAACGGATGCCTAGTTGGACTTTGTGGATCAGGTGATGCTAATTGTACTATAATTCCAAGTTGCTGCTGACCTCTTAGGGAGGCACGTAGGTCTGGCCACTGCATCTTTATCTTGAGACCTGGTCTTCTTCAGATGCGCATCCAACCACAATTCTGATGTCTTTATTTTCTGTTGGCTTCCTTGGGAGCCCAGTCTCCATCTGACTGTATCTTCATTTCTACCTACAGAGAAATCTAATTTCTACCTATTTAATTTCTGCCCACAGCCCTTCCATCCTTCTTTTTTTCCTCCCTTCCATCTTTCCTCTTTCTCTTTCCTTTGTGGTGCTGGGGATTGAATCTAGGGCCTTGTGTATGGTAGGTAGGTGCTCTACCACTGAGCTACAGCCTGTTTAGTTTTCTTGCCTTGTATTTCTCCTTGTCTGTCTCTGTTTGTTACACTGATCTTGTATGTGTTCACGTGTAGATTCTTACTCACAGTTCGTACGCGTCACATATCGCCTCCATTCCATTTTCCTCCTGGGACCTGCTTTCCTTCCATGCCAGCTGAAGGAGAGAGATGAGTCTGACTGCTCTCAGCGCCTGCTGTGGGGCTCTACTCTGAGCTTCTGTTTGCTACTTTCCTGGTTGAATTCCCCTCTTGCTTTTGTTCTTTTTGTTTCTGGTTTGGAAGATTATTTTTCTTAAGTCATTTCTGCTAGGTTAATATTTCATTGGTTGCCAATAACAAACTACTTTTTCATTCTTAAGCGGTATTATCAGTATGGTTCTTTGTTTTCTTTTTTTTTCAGATTTTAGAAAATTTTAATACTTAATGGACAAATAAAATTTATATATTCAAGGTGTACAATGCGATGATTGAATATATTTATATTTTGTTTATTTTTAACTTTTATTTTAAAGAGAAAAGAACAAACACAAATTTACAAACACAGAGATATAAACAGAACAGTGCAAAACCAATAAAAGCGATACAGAATTTCAAACAAGGTGATAAGACATTAACAGTGGTTGTTATAGTACATACGGTTATCTTCAGATTGGTTTCTTGTTTACTCTGTTCATGCTCTTACCATGTCAAAATGTAAAAGTTGGCAACTTTTCTGGTTTACAGGGTACACTTTGGCATTTTCAGTCTCAATTACCAGTAGAGTGAGCAAACACATTTTTCATTAGGAAAAGGACTCGTGTGCATGTAAGAGACTCTTATCAGGCAAGTTAGCCTTTGGAAAATGCCAGTTGCCAGTGATTACATTTTCTGTGCTCTGTCCCTGGCTTTAGCATAGAGCAGACGTCTTGGCATTTCGGTTACACGGCGTTTTAGTATCCTCAAATGCTACCACATATATTAGGATGCTTACTGATATACAGTGCCGAGTGCTTGTAATAAATCTTCCAGCAAATCAGACAGCTCAAACTGTCTCAAACTGAGGAGAGTTTATAGGTAGATATATATATTTCATTTATAAAGTGTACATTACCCTCTCATGTCTATTTCCAAGAAGAATTCAGCACTTTTCATTTTCATGTTGCTTTTGGAGAGTACTTGCAATCACGGTTTTTCAGTTACAGACAAACTTACCAGTTTGCAGTTCTTTCAGCCATTTTCAGAACGTTCTTTGACAAAGTTGTCCCCAAATCCACTCCCACATAGTTCATATACAGAAAATGATTATTTCCTCCCAAACAAGTATGTCTTTTCTACTTAGGTTACCTGAGGCAGGACAGAGTGTATAAGACTAAGGATTTGGGAGGGTCAGTCAGTTACCCTTTCTGGGAACTAATTTTCTTCTCATGTCTATAGTAAATGATCTTTTCCCTCAAATACTGCTGTGAAATGGGAAGCAAGGCTCTTTGGGTAGACTCTCCAGAATATCCCTGGCCTTCTGGTGGCAGTCAGATGTGGGTGTAAAATTCATCATAAAGAAGCCAGCTTCTGATTGTGACTCACACAAATCAGCGCTACGTGAGGTCAAGAGGTGGTAGAGGCTAAAGGTGAATGGGGGAGGGAAGCCTTGCCTTGACGAAGGTTAGCAGCTTGCCTTTGTGTCCTGACTTGGATAGCGTATGTGAACTGAGCAGACTGCTTTGTTTTTGTTTCGTTTTGTTTTGTTTTAGCCAGGGCCTCACTATGTACAGTAAGTGCCTGACTTACAAATACTTGAGTTGCGAACTTTCACAGACGTGAATGGACCTCAGATTATGAAGATTCATCGATGCGAATTGATCTCGGAAGTAGCTCCTGTGTCTGCCGGAAATCATCACAGTCACAGTTGCGCTCGGTGTGCTTATTGCAGTGTGACAGTATACAGCAGCACAGTACTCAGTAAGAGCCCAGGATGTTGGAAAGCAAGAGGAAAAGCAGGGGTGATGTGGAGGGGACTGCTAGGAAGTGCAAACCACTCTGAAAATACAGTATACAACTCACTTTGTCACACTGATGAATAGATCTGACTTAGGAATGTTCTCATGGAATGGAACTTGTTCATAAGCTGGGGACTTACTGCACTTCAGGCTGGCCTTGAACTCACTGCATAGCCCAGGCTGGCGTCAAACTCAGAGTAATCCTCCTGCCTCAGCTTCCTGAGTGATAGGATTGCAGGCGTATGCCACTACACCTGGCCGAATAAGCTGTTTTCAATCTTGATATTGTCTTCCATATTTTTGAATTTGCTTTACTCACTTAGGAAATGTTTCTTTAGCTTTAAAGTAAGACATTTTAGATTTAGTCTAGTTCTTATTTGTTTTGTATATTAAAGAACAACACCAGATAGAAGATATACTAAATTTTGTTTAGGTGAATTGGCAAGTGAATGAACCCACAACATTTGGAAGTTGAGAAATTGAAGTAGTATATAGATTTTACTTTCCTCCCCCAGCATAAAAACCAGCACTTTTAAGAAAATCTAGATTCTGCCTGGCATGGTGGCACATACTTGTAATCCGAGCACTTGGGAGACTGAGGCAGGAGGATCATTACAAGTTCAAGACCAGCCTGGGTTACAAAGTGAACTCAAGGCCAGCCTGAACTGCATAGCGAGACCCTGTCTCAAAAAAAAAAAAATAAATAAATAAAAAGATAGATTCTGAGTTATATCAAATAAATCTCATTGACTAAATTTGCTAGTTTGCTATCATGACAACCTTCACTTGGAGCTAATTAGAAGTTAACTGGGACACTTGAAGAGATCGATTCTGGTCTTGAATTGGATGTGATTTCATAGCTTCTATAATCTTCCTCTATTACAGTGTATATTGTTGGTGAGTTGTTGAATATAAGAGGCCAAAGATGTGCCTTTGGCTGATATGTGAGGTAGTGAATCTCCTTTCCTTTTTTCTTTCTCACTCCTTCACATTTTCTTTTCTTTTTTTTTTTTTTTCTTTTTTTTGGGCAGGGGAGGAAATCCCTAGGCTCTAGGGTAAGCCAAGAACTTTGGAACACGATATTAATTTAAGATCAGTTAGGAGGGCTGCAGCACAGGTGTTCCTGTCACTCTGGCTTGGAAAGTTGGTGCTTCCTTCTAGAATGAGCTACACTGGATCAGAATGACCAACTTATTATAATCTGTCATTCAGAGCTTGAATAACATATCAGGTGCTTTAAAACCTAAGAAAGATGCAAACCCTCCTGATTTTAAGATGCAAGCATTTCATTTAGAATGATAGATGCTGATAGAGGAAGCTTAATACACATTTTTACAAGTCATGTAAGGTTAGCTCAGCAAATATTTATGGAATGCCTAGATGATACAAGGGAATTAAAATTAGTATATAACTAACATATCCCCAATATCAAATTCTATGAAAGCAGAGATCAAAATACAATTGGGCATTATCATGAATTATCACATCCTTTCTTCTTTTTTACTATTTTCTTTTTTGGTACTGGGAATTGAACTCAGGGTCTCAAACTTGCCAGGCAGGTGCTGCACTGCTGAGCTACATCCCTGGCCCTCAAATCCTTTCTGAGAAACCATTTGTGTACAAGTTTTCCAGGCTTGGGAAAGTAAAGACATAGAGAAATCAATACAACTGGGTCCCTGTTGTAGAGAAGCTGAATGAGAGAGAGAGAGAGAGAGAGAGTGTGTGTGTGTGTGTGTGTGTGTGTGTCCCTGTAGGTCATTCACAATGATCCCAGCCACTTGGTAGCCCGGCCTTAGCAAAGTGTGGTGCTCACAATTTGATCTTTAAAGCTAGTCTTTACAGAGTCTTTCCTAGGAAGATCCATAGATGAACCCTTTAATCATACACAGCAAAACTGCTGAATCTTTTTTCCAGCCATCTTAGCTAGTTTTTGTAACTATCATGAAATTTGACACAGGCTACTTACGAACAAAAGAGATTTATTTAGCAGCCTATTTTGAAGATTCAAGCAGCATGGCACAGACTGGCTCTGGCTGTGGCCCATGGTGAAGGGCAGATGGTGAAGTGCCCACGGAATAAGGCTCATGTCGGGCGGAAGCAGAGAGGGAGCTGAGTAGGGCAGGCTTGCTCCTTCTCTAACAACCTTCTCTAGAAAATTCCAGGGTTGCAGGAGAACTTCTATTGTGAGCACGCTTCCTAAGCACCTCGAAGCTTTGGTGTCCAGAAGTCACTCATGGGTCATCTTCATGGATTCGACAGGTGTTGCTCTGAAAGGCGACATGGCAAAAACTGGACAAGCATCCATCATTCTGTGCCCTTCCTGCCCCCATCAGCTACAAGATACTTCCAGCCACTTTCTGAGTTGGACGGATGAGCTCTGTGCTGATCCTGTCTTTGTGTCTGTGGTAGCAAGGTCATGTGAGGGGCTCACAGCCCCAACCTCACATCAACCAGTTTCACAGTGTGTGTGTGTGTGTGTGTGTGTGTGTGTGTGTGTGTGGTTTTCCTCAAATAATGCCAGAGTAATAGGCTGTGGGTGAGAAGGAATTTCTGTTTGACAAATGTTGAGACAGGTGACAGAAGGCATCTATCACATAGCATTGCCCTCTTCATCTGTTACGTGAGATGATTAATGACACGGACAGTATCATTTTCCTTGATAGCTCTTGATGGAATCAGAACAGTAACCCATCATGGCTACTATTGAAACGGTTTGTGTAGCAAGAAAACATACGTCAGCCAGGCCCGAGAACTTGATTGGGGATACGGAGCGAAGCTAAGTGGGAGAGTAACAGGAGTAGGTGTGTGCTGCTCTCTGTCTGGTAGAGCGGACCAGGAGCCTGGAAGGTTGGCCGTCAGGGTGCAGCCTGATCCGTACTGCATCTCCCGCCCGCCTTTCATCCTTGTAAGTCCCATGGAGCCGTCCCACTTCCAGTTACAGTCAACTCTCTGCCCGGATGGCCTGCCTGATTTCTCTCTCATGCTTATCTCTTTCCAGATCACTTTGCCTTTAAGTTGGGGTCAGAATTTTTAAAAAGGTAACTTCTATCTTTATCCCCTCAGTCCTCTTCTTCCCAGTTTCCCACTGTGAAATCCAGATTCCTCACTCTGGTCTAAGCTCTTATAAATGTACCTCTTAGCCTGTCTGTCACCATTCCAAGTGCCATGCTTCCCTGGCACACTTGCCGAAAGATGGTCAGATCCCGCATTCCTGGAACGCCCCCTCCTCATTACCTAAGTGGCTCTCTCTACCCAAAATCTTGACCCCCATGCTACTGGAAATCCCACTCTTTCAAGGCTCAGCTCCTGTCAACCTTCTTCCAGGAACTCATCCTTGTTAATATTACCAAGATTCACACTTTCCCATCTCTAGATCCTATAATAGGTCATCTGAGCACATTCTGCTTGGTATTTAATTTAGTTGAGTATGAATCTATTTTTCTCAGTACTTATAGATATCATGAGGATTTTATATTTCATCTTTGTGTCCCATGGCACTTAATATAATCTCTTGAATGTGTCTGTTAAACTGAATTGAATTAGCTGTACTTTTGTAACTCTAGAATTGGACGGTTTCCATGTTTATGCATTTATTAACATTTAGATATAATAAGGTTTTGGGCGGTAAGGTCTATCGTTGTTTGCTTCTTTGTTTTAAGGTTTTACCCAGCACCACTCAGTTGTAATTTAAAAATGAATGTATTTTATCATGCTACTCTTTGGAATGTGAGTTCATGTACGATTAATACTGTCATTAAAACCTAGTTGCTTCCATAGGGCTGGATGCTGGCGGCATTGGGAGGTGGGCAAAGCTTATCTCTGATGCAGGTTTGGAGGGAGGAGGCACCAATATGGCGGAGTGCAGCCAGTTAGCTCAGTGGCTCCCTTCCCTAGCTCCCCTTTGACCTCTCAGCTCACACAGCCAGTACTGACTGTAGTTTTCCTGTCCTCCTTTACATGGTGGCATAACGATCATCTGAGGCAGCCCTGGCTCTGGGTCGATGTGTCGGGTCAGATGTCCACACATCGGTGGTCTAGGGCATGGGCAGTGTCATCAGTGGACAGTGTATGTATGCTGTTGCCTCTTTGCCCTCCTTTCCGTTCATTCTTCTTACTTCATTCCTGACTTCCAGCCATTCCCCTTTGGATAAACCATTTTCTGAAGTCTGAATCCCTTTATTCTAGGGCATTTTTCTCAGAAGAAAAGCAATTTCTGAAAGCCTTGCTTTGGTGCAAATTACTTTACTTGTTATTCCCCTGGAACATATGAATTTCAACAATGAATATGCACAGAATCCTAAAATAAGGTGTTATTCTTGATTAATTGCAGCGCTTATAGTTTATGGCCATCTTGTATTGTTTCAAAAAACTCTGATTACTTAAGAATTGTAATTTCTGAGCCCTTCTGTTTTATCCTCTGAACTAGAGTTGAACGATAAAAAACATGAAAATAAAATAAGTAGTTTACAGCTGGATATAGAGTATCTACAATAATATCAATCTTACTATATTTCCTTCTTATTTCTAGCACATAATTATTGGATGTTGCTCTGAAATCAAAGCCCTCTTTGTGCGTGACAGAGTGCCAACGCCGCTGACTGAGGTAGGTCCTTCTCCTTTCAGACATTTCTGACTCACTCACAAGCGATATTGCTGTGGCAAAGAAAACACAGAAAACATCTAATTGCAAGTGTCAAGCCCTCACCTTTCTTAATTAATGTGAAAAAGCAATGAACGTGAGTTTACAATAGTACTTTGCTTTGGTTAAAATATTCTGTATAAAAAATGCCACTAGTACAGAAAGTTATGAAGAGGGCCATTTCAAAACCACTTCATAGCCACTGTTTGAAGAGAATAACCCTAACTGGCATTGGGAGAACATCTAGAACTTTTTTGTCCACAGGATCATACTCTACATTCTGTAAGCATTCTGTAACTGGCTTTATTAAGCAATAATACAGTGGAGATTTTTGTATTTGGAAAGTCTACCATATCGTATTTAATGCCTGCAGAATAGTCTCTTTTATGTATTTATTGTGTCAGACGCTATTTACACAGTGAGATACTGGTAGATCTTGAGGCTGACAGACTCTAGTCCATCCAGGTATCACCCGTGTGCGTTATTTCCTGAGTTAACGTTTGGGAATTGGATTTTGAAGTAAAAAACTGTATCTACTATGATGCAAATGTAAATTTTAATGAAATCAGATATATACAATACAAAATGGGTAATTTTAACAATTTAAAAGTATACAATTCAGTGGCGTTAAATACATGCGCAATGCTTTGTAGCTGTTACCAGCTTCCATCTCTAGAACTTTGTCATCATCTCCCCAAAAACTTCGTACTAGCTCAGTAATTAACTCTACTCCTCGCCAGCCCCCTTCCCAGCTCCTGCTAACTCTGCTCTCCTTCCTCTCTGAATTTGCCTGTTCTAGGCGTCTCAGATAAATGCTGTCATACAACATTTGTCCTGATGTGTCTGGCTTATTTCATCTAGCGTAATGCTTGCAAAGTTAGCCACATGGTGGGTAGTCTCAATTTCTCTTATTCCTTTTAAAGCTAAACAATATTCCATTGTACCTTTATACCACATTTGTTGTGCATACATCTGTCTGTAGATATTCGGGGTGCTTTCATCTTTTCCCTATTGTAATTTATTTTGCTATGAATGAGGGTGTACAAGTATCTATTTCAGTCTGTGGTTTCTTTGGGATATATACTATATCTAGGAGTGGAATTACTGGATCATAAGATACGCTGTGTTTCACTTTTTGAGGAACCCCCAAACTATTCTTCTTGGCAGCTGTACACTTTTATACTCCTTCCCACAAGGTCTTCAAATTCTCACCAACTCTTCATTTTGAATTATTTATTTGTAATGGCTAATAATGTCGAACATCTTCTCACTTATTTATTAGCCTGTTATCTTTTTTAGGGAAATAACTGTTCAGTCGTTCACCCACTTTTAACTGGTGTGTAGACTTTGATAGATGATTACAAGTGGCCCTTCAGAAATGGGCACCAGTTTTTCTCCCACGAGCAGCAGCGGAGAGGGTCCGTTTAGTGATGTACTTATGGGCACTAGTCCTCCGCCTCTCCCTCCTGCTCCTTTTCCAGATGGCTGTAAGTCTGACAAGCTAAAACTAGTATGTCGTTATTTTGCTTTAATTATTAAGGCCAAGTATATTCCACACATTCGTTGGCAATTGTGAAATGAAGTTCGTTCATATGCTCGGTCAGCTCCTACCGACAGTGAACTGTGTTTGGGTCAGGAAATCCTTTGTAGTCACTGAAGAGCCAGCCATGAAAGGCAATAAGCACCTCACTCTTGTGCAGCTGCTATTTTAATGGAAGGAAATTACCAAATTAACAGGAAAATTTCAGGTTTTGTTAGATGTTTGAAAAAAAACACAAGATAATGGAGCAATACATTAGGGTAGGGACTGGCTAACTGCACCCTGTAAACTGTATCTGTATCACTGCCTGTTTTTAAATAATGCTTTATTGGAACACTGCCTTGCTCATTTGTTTACTTACGACCCATAGCTGGTTTCTCACTGCCACAAGATGTGTAGTTTTGGTGGAACCTGTATGGCCTAGGAAGTCTAAATTATTTATTTTCTGGGCCTTTACAGAAAATTTGGCGGGGTATTGTGGCACATGCCTATAATCTCAGCACTCAGGAAGCCGAGGCAGGAGGATTGCTGTGCTGCAAGTGTGAGACCAGCCTTGGCTACATAGTGAATTCTAGGTCAGTCTGAACTACTTAGGGAAACCTTGTCTCAAATCCTCTCAAAAGAAACAGTGTAAAGGAAAGAAAGAAAGAGAGAGGAAAGAAAGAAAGAAAGAAAGAAAGAAAGAAAGAAAGAAAGAAAGAAAGAAAGAAAGAAAGAAAAGAAGGAAGGAGAAAAAAGGAAGGAAAGAAGGAAGGAAAGAAGGAAAGAAGGAAGGATGAAACAAAGAAAATTTGCTGGCCTCTCTGATAGCAACAGAGAATGGGGTTCCAGCTTAGATACAGTGGTCAGAGAAGATCTCTCTGAGGAGATGACACTTGTAGTAAGATTGGAAATATTATTCTTTCCCTTAGATTATTTGCTTTTGAGGACAGTAATGATGCTGCCTTCATCACTGAATTCTCAGAGTGCCTTATATCACATCACTCAGTCTCTGTTAAATTGAATTTCCGTGTGTGTGTGTGTGTGTGTGTGTGTGTGCATGTATGTTTCTGGGTATTGAATCCAGGGCCTTTGTACTCAGCTATGTCCCCAACTATTTTAATTCTTTTTTAAATTTTAAGACAAGGTATTGCTAAATTGCTAAGTTACCCTGCCCAGGTTGGGCTGAAACTTGCAATCCTCCTGCCTCAGCCTGCCAGAATGCTGCTGTTACAGGCATGTACCATTATGCCCAGCTTCCCTTGAGCTTTGTACATCTGAACTTTAATCTTTATTTTTTTTTAAATCAATTGACTATTCGTGTCCTTTTCCCACTTTTAAAAGGGGAACTTAGTTTTTTTTTATTATAGAAATAAATAGATTTATTAAGGCAGGCATTGCAATACTGTAAATCAAGCTTAAATCTCATTTTGGAAAAACCATGGTTAGAAATAGGCCACACATACATTTGTTACATAAGATGCTTGATGTCAGTGGGTTTTGGCTTCTGACAGACCTGGATTGGAATCCCAACTTTGAGTCTGAACAGTTGCATCATCTTGGGGAAGTCATTTAACTTCTCTTAAGTTTCAATTTCGCCTACGTAAAATGAGGTATAACACCAACCTCTCACAGTTACTGTGAGAATTACGGTAAATACTACATGTCAAGTATTTGTCATCAGGCTTCATACAAATAAATGTTCAGTAAATATCAGCCCTCGAAGCGTCGCTGCCGTTGTCACACCTTCCCTTCCCTGGCTTTACCTCCCGTATGAGAATGCTTCGCCCCCTGTGCAGCTAATTTCACTTAAATTTCTAATATCTGAAGTTGCTTTTGAAAAGTCTTAAAGGTATAAGATAAAATAGGAACCATTCTCCACGCCCATAATGTAAACTATTCCTGAATCGGCTGGAATCAAATGAGTGTGCAGAATCCCAACAGAGGACCCCAGGGGTGACAGTCACTTGTCCAAGGGAGGGCACCTCCCCCTTGAATCTCATTCTTCTCATGAGGACAAGACTTACCTAGAAGTGCCGGGATAGGGTATGGGCATTTATGAACTCACCCCAGCAATTGTTTAAATTGTTAGACAAAAAAATTACACGCTTAGTGAAGCCATTTTTGTCACCAGTGTTCAATCCGGCTGTGCAGTTTGGTTCCTTATTGAACATGCTTATTAAAAACTACCTTTGCTTATATTACCTCTTCTTAATTAAGATAAGCCTTGCAGTACACAACTTGTGACAAAAAGAGACTGAGAAAAGCAGAGAGATGAAAGAAGGGAATTAATGTCCCTGCTAACCTGCTTAGCGTTAGTCAGGGAATATCAGTGCCCATTGGGTATGATTTCTGGTCAAGCAGTAATATAAAGCATTGCCTTTGTAGGTTTGAATTATTGCAGTTTCTAAGTTGTCAGATAGGATCCAAATGCAATGCTAAAAATGTTTTTCTTTGTTCTTGTTGTGACTAACCATAAAACGTCTTAAGTCCTTTTATGCAGCCACCTGTCCATTACTAATTATGAACTGTATGCAGACCATTAATGTAGATAGTTTTGTATCTACAAAGGCAGCATAGATTCAAGTTCATATAGTCAGCTAAATTAAGTATTTTCACACTAGGTCACATGATACCAAAAAAGTTGCCACATCCATAATATACACATGTGTGTGAGATGTGTATCAGTGTTTATGGTTTGACCAAACCAAAATCACATAGAATCACTACAGAGAGGACCTACCTGGGAGAGCACATCCTTGTTTGACGATGGGAAAGTTTATGCTAGACCACAAAATAAGATAGGTTTGTAGACTTGCAAGTCCTTTTTATTGGCTGAATAAGTTTAGTAGAATTTTTTGTTTAATATTTGCAGCTAGATCTAGTGTGGGGGGCTAGGGATTTAGCTCAGTGGCACAGCGCCTGCCTGGCAAGCACAAGGTCGTGAGTTCGATTACCGGTACCAGAAAAAAAAAAATAGATCTAGTGTGGTACCTAATAATAGTAATGACGGTAGTCATTGAAATGCAAATATGACTACCAGAAGTAGTGAAAATATTGATAGCTAATATTTATTGAGCTCTTGGCATGGGCAGATATTAAGTATTTAAAATATATTAGCTTATTTAATATTGCAAAGACCCTGCAAAGTCTCTTACTGTTACTATCTCCATTTTAGAGAGGAAGAAACAGATAGATGCAGAGGAAAAGTAAGCAGCGTGCTTGGGGTCTCACAACTTATATGCGGAAGAGGCAGCCGTCAAACACAGGTCTGCCTAAGTCTAGGACTGGCCTTTTACGCCCAAGGAATGTTTTGCTAGAATAGTGGAAGCAGATGCCGTGAGGAGTTCAGGATCCAGAGGTGAGAAAGTGAGAGTGAGAATTTAAAGGGCAATAGTGTAGGTTAGTCCTTAGGAAGAACTGAGAGTAAAGTACTCTCTAGATA